TATATATATATATGTATATATGCTTGTCGTTACGCGTTTCGAACTTGCGCTGCGATCGTCGTGTCCGAGAGAGAAATTATTTTTTTCGAGATAACGACGTCTGATCGCATATACGCGCTAAACACTAGAGAACGCTTTCGACTAGTAGTAGTATAGCAGCAGCAGCTATACGATTTAGTATTAGCGATCGCGTGTGACATATATATCTGTGTGTGGTGTTGTGTTGTATATTGTTAACCGACCTCAGAGCAGGTGAGACTACCCGCTGAATTTAAGCATATTACTAAGCGGAGGAAAAGAAACTAACTAGGATTCCCTCAGTAGCTGCGAGCGAACAGGGAAAAGCCCAGCACCGAATCCCGCGGTCGATATCGGGCGCCGGGAAATGTGGTGTTAGGGAGGATCCGTTTATCCCGAGGTCGCGCGGCGAGTCCAAGTCCTTCTTGAACGGGGCCACAGCCCATAGAGGGTGCCAGGCCCGTAGTGGCCGCTGCCGATCGCGGGAGGATCTCTCCTCAGAGTCGGGTTGCTTGAGAGTGCAGCCCTAAGTGGGTGGTAAACTCCATCTAAGGCTAAATATGACCACGAGACCGATAGCGAACAAGTACCGTGAGGGAAAGTTGAAAAGCACTTTGAAGAGAGAGTTCAAGAGTACGTGAAACCGTTCAGGGGTAAACCTGAGAAACCCGAAAGGTCGAAAGGGGAAATTCATTCGCGTTTCGGCCGTCGGCGATGAGCGGTCGCGCGACGGACGGCGTTCGCGCGTCGTCCGCGCCTTTCGCTTTTCGATCCGGCGTCGAACGCGTGCACTTTTCCCCTAGTAGGACGTCGCGATCCGTTGGGTGTCGGTCTACGGCTCGCGGTGGAGTCCGTGTACGATCGTTTCGGCGATTCGTGCTCGAACCCGCGATGTTCCGGCCGACTCGCTCGACGGTATACAGATGGCGCGAGGCCGCTACTTCTTCAATTAGCGTCCGACCCACGACAAGCACGTTCGATGCTAAGACGGCGATCGGACCTAGCGCCCGGTTCCGTCCCCGGACGACTGTTGGTCGTGCGGATTTCTCGGACAGACCTCGTTTGAAACGCCGATCTGCGACGCTATAGCTTTGGGTAATTTCAGGACCCGTCTTGAAACACGGACCAAGGAGTCTAGCATGTGCGCGAGTCATTGGGACATAACTAAACCTAAAGGCGCAATGAAAGTAAAGATCCGCCTAGCGCGGATTTAGGGAAGATGGGCGGCACGTCTATAAAGCGGCCGCTCCGCACTCCCGGGGCGTCTCGTTCTCATTACGAGAAGAGGCGCACCAAGAGCGTACACGCTGGGACCCGAAAGATGGTGAACTATGCCTGGTCAGGACGAAGTCAGGGGAAACCCTGATGGAGGTCCGTAGCGATTCTGACGTGCAAATCGATCGTCGGAACTGGGTATAGGGGCGAAAGACTAATCGAACCATCTAGTAGCTGGTTCCCTCCGAAGTTTCCCTCAGGATAGCTGGCGCTCGTCTGTGACGAGTTTCATCCGGTAAAGCGAATGATTAGAGGCATTGGGGTCGAAACGACCTCAACCTATTCTCAAACTTTAAATGGGTGAGATCTCCGGCTTGCTCGAACTAATGAAGCTGCGAGAATCGAATCAGAGTGCCAAGTGGGCCATTTTTGGTAAGCAGAACTGGCGCTGTGGGATGAACCAAACGTCGAGTTAAAGCGCCTAAATCGACGCTTATGGGATACCATGAAAGGCGTTGGTAACTTAAGACAGCAGGACGGTGGCCATGGAAGTCGGAATCCGCCAAGGAGTGTGTAACAACTCACCTGCCGAAGTTACTAGCCCTGAAAATGGATGGCGCTGAAGCGTCGTGCTTATACTCGGCCGTCAGCGGCATGTGCGGTCTCGATCCGCGTAAAAACGGATCGGCCATGAAGCTCTGACGAGTAGGAGGGTCGCGGCGGTGCGCGCAGAAGGGCTGGCCGTGAGGCCGTCTGGAGCCGCCGTCGGTGCAGATCTTGGTGGTAGTAGCAAATACTCCAGCGAGGCCCTGGAGGACTGACGTGGAGAAGGGTTTCGTGTGAACAGCCGTTGCACACGAGTCAGTCGATCCTAAGCCCTAGGCGAAAGCCGATGTTGATGTGGCGTTGTTTTATAAATATATGTATGTATGTGTGTATATAAAGAACACGCCCGTCGGGCGAAAGGGAATTCGGTTCCTATTCCGAAACCCGGCAGCGGAACCGTACAATAGTCGGGCCCTCGCAAGAGAGTTCGTCGGGGTAACCCAAAAAGACCCGAAGACGCCGTCGGGAGACCAGGGAAGAGTTTTCTTTTCTGCATAAGCATTCGAGTTCCATGGAATCCTCTAGCAGGGAGATATGGTTTGGAATGCGAAGAGCACCGCAGTTGCAGCGGTGTCCTGGTCTTCCCCTCGGACCTTGAAAATTCGGGAGAGGGCCACGTGGAGGTGTCGCGCCGGTTCGTACCCATATCCGCAGCAGGTCTCCAAGGTGAAGAGCCTCTAGTCGATAGAATAATGTAGGTAAGGGAAGTCGGCAAATTGGATCCGTAACTTCGGGATAAGGATTGGCTCTGAGGATCGGGGCGTGTCGGGCTTGGCGAGGAAGCGGGTCGCGGCTGACGTGCCGGGCCTGGGCGAGGTGAAACGTTCTGTCGTATGCGTTCGCGCGTGTGCGGTAGGATTGCGGATCCGAACTCGGTACCGTGCCTTGGCCTCCCGCGGAACCGTCTTGCTGCGAGGCCCAGAGTGCGCTCGCAAGGGCGTTCTGGTGTCCTCTTCGGCCGCCATTCAACGGTCAGCTCAGAACTGGCACGGACCGGGGGAATCCGACTGTCTAATTAAAACAAAGCATTGAGATGGCCCCTGCGGGTGTTGACTCAATGTGATTTCTGCCCAGTGCTCTGAATGTCAACGTGAAGAAATTCAAGCAAGCGCGGGGTAAACGGCGGGAGTAACTATGACTCTCGAGTCTTGAGCAAGGAAGCATTTACGCAGACCATTTTTTACAAGTACCAGCTGTGTTGTAGGCTGCGCTAACGTCTTTTTCAAGATTGTTAGCGTTTCTTGGTGACATCGGTTTGTGTATTTGTGGAGCTTAAGACTCACCCGGGAAGGTTCCGGATTTCCTCCAAATCCAACCGAGAGTCGGGCCCGTGTCATTATGTCACGGTGGCTAATTCCCGGATCGAACGCACGCACCGCGCCCACAAGAACAGTGGCGCGAGATCGACCAAGGCGCCGGTTCTCGGCGCCGGTCTTACTAACAACGGGCCAGATTTACCTGGCCCAACCCGCATCGAGCAAACGCGGGAGTGAGGACAAGGGGAGGACAGACATATCAAAGGCTAAGCCCGTCAGCGGCGCCAAGAAATTGCAATACTGGCGCCAAGTCCTCCCCAAACTATTGCACGACGTGTGACACAGCTTTTACGTCGGCAGTGCAGCTAAGAACGCACAAGATGGCAAGAGCATGCGAAGACAGGCTCCAATGTAAGCACTGTCCAATGAGATTTGGCAGTTACAAGTCCACCCGACAGCACGAGCGGAGGGCACACCCGGTGGAATACGCCGGTGAGATCGAGAAGATGCGCGGTCCTCTGCCAGAACCAGAGATCTTGCAGATCATGGCGAGGATCGAAGCCCGTGAACCAGCCGGGCGAGTTAATAAGTGCATGGCTGAAGCCACAGATCTCACCGTTGACCAGGTGCGGTTCAGGAGGAGGAAGCCCGAGTATCAGAGATATCTCGAGCTCGCCCGGAAGCAATTCCGGGCCTCTGGTACTCGGATTTTACCAGCAAAATCTTCTTCCCCCGCCGCATCTACTAGCGGATCCTCCGTGGTGTGCCAGACGCCCGTGCCCGAGGGAAAGGACAAACTTAAACAACCAGCCTCCTGCGAAAACGAGCCTCTTTCGCAGGACATGGAGTCTCCTCTGCTTCAGAAGGTATCAGCAAGGCAGAAGCGGATGAGGGAGAGTTGCTCACCGCACGACCTCAACCCCGCCAAGAGGAAGACGGCTGGAGTAGGGACAGATGTAGGCAGGAATACGAGCTCTATTATACTAGCTCTAAGGCCACCGGTTCCAACGGTGCGCCAAAAAATGCCCGAGATGGCAAGAGGAAGAGGAGAGAGAGCGACTCTCCAATTCAATCGAAAATCGTTCAACCCAGAACTGTGGTCGCCAGTCCTAGCGACCAACTTGGCATGGAACCTGCGCGTTCTAAAGTACCCGTATCGCTGCGTGAGAACGCAGCTCACCATTCCGGGTCTGGTAACCTCTCCGGTCGTAATACGACCGCGGCTCCCCATGCTCCTGAGGCAGAGCTGCCTCCGTTCCGCTGAGAGATCTCGCACCAAAGGTGAACATAAACTCTACTTTTGTAGAGTACCTGCGAGATGCTCGAAGCGGATTCAATCTTCCTGAGCATGGGGAGATCCGTCGCGTCATTGATATGGCGCTTCTCGGCTCCACAGAACAACTGACGGTCGCTCTCGACCGTTGGGTGGAGTCGAGATTTTCATCAAACAAACGGACCAAGAACAATCGCACGAGAGGTGCCAGTAAACCCGGTAGGCACTACAATCAGGCCAAAGGCGGCAGCGGCAAGCGCGCGGCCGAGTACAAGAAGGCGCAGGACCTCTATGCCAAGGACAGATCTGGCCTCGCAGAACGCGTGCTCAAAGGGCAGGGCATGCACGAGTCAATCGAACTCCCTTCCTTGGCGGAAGTGGAAGCGTTATATGGCGGAATCTGGGAGTCCTTACCCGCTGGGGACGACGAACCGATCGCGGACCCCAAAGTAGCAGAACTCTGCGTTCTATCCGAACACCTGATGACGTCAGCAAATGGAAGGCCAACTGGCAGAATTCTGCACCCGGCCCAGATGGAATAACAGTAGCTGACGTCAAAAAGATGAGTAACAACGAGTTGAGCGTGGTATTTACCACCATCTTTGGGAGTAAAATCCACCCAACAACGTGGAAACAAAGCCGAACATACTGGTGCCCAAGGATGGTGATAGACGGAGGGCCGAAAACCATAGACCCATTACCATCGGGTCTGCACCGCTTCGGCTCCTTCACAGGATCGTTCAGGGCCGTATTGGAGCAGCGATCCAGCTCAGCCATCATCAGAGAGGCTTTGTAAAGATGGACGGCACGCTGGCTAACGTGCTTATTCTGGACCACTATATCGGGTCGCGGAAGGATGCCGGGAAGAGCTATAACGTTCTCTCGGTAGACCTCCGCAAAGCTTTTGATAGTGTCCAGCATGCCTCCATCTTGAGAGGCCTCCGGAGGGTTGGGCTGGAAGAGGGGATAGTGGAATAT